TGACAAGAGCCAGGGTGCAGACAGGGCTGGGTGGGCGGATAGTAGGAGCTCTGGAAGATCTCTTGTGACCGATTGTCTGTTTTCTCAGTGACACAGAAATCCTGGCCATCAGGTGCAAGTGAGGATGAAGGGGGTGGGATAGTGTTTAAGGAGAGAGGAGAAAGCGTGAAATAGTTGTCTGGAAGAGTGGGAGGGTGAGCCATGGAAATATAGAGTATGTCTTCTCGGCAGAATTAAAAGCCTACTCATGTTCCATTGTCATGAATTCAACATGAGCCCACTCTAGGAGATGGAGGTGCTGTCGGGGAAGGTGGCCAAGTGAGTCTCTTACAGTTAAGAGAGGGATGAGAGGCCGGACGTGGTGGCTCACACCTGTAATCCTAGCACTCTTGGAGGCTGAAGCAGGTGGATTGCTCAAGATCAGGAGTTTGAAACCAGCCTGAGCCCAAGAGCGAGACCCCGTCTCTACTAAAAATAGAAAGAAATTAATTGGCCAACTAAAAATATATTAAAAAAATATTAGCCAAGCATGGTGGCACATGCCTGTAGTCCCAGCTACTAGGGAGGCTGAGGCAGGAGGATCGTTTGAGGTTGCTGTGAGCTAGGCTGAGGCCACGGCACTCTAGCCTGGGCAACAGAGTGAGACTCTGTCTCAAAAAAAAAAGGGGGGGGGATGAGAGAGTGGAGGGTATAATTCAAGAATTATATGTAAAGTTAGACGTTGGGATTTACCCTTGGTAAAGAGGGACGAGGTTACACAAGAGATGGAGAAATAAAGCTGGTCATTGAGTGTAGATCCTGGTGAAGGATTGTTGAACTAGAGTACCAGAGACAGCTAGCAGGAAAGACAGAAAACAGAAAAAGGGAAAGATGATTAAAAGTGAATTCATGGGAGGGGTTGCAGTGCATGGTAAAGGCAAGAGCCAAACCCTGCTTCTTAAACTTTAACTCGCGTAAACATCCCCTTGACATTCTTGGGAGGATGCGTGTTTTGATTGAGTTAAGTTTACGTGGGCAGAGCATGGCAGTCTGCATCTCTGTCAAGCTCCAAAGTGACGCCGATGCTCTCGGTCCAGGGATTCCATTTTAAACCACAATCCAGGGTGGTATTTCTCAACCCTACCAGTAAACGACAACCCTTGGGGAGTTTAAAAAAAATAATGACTCCATACCAGTGAATAAGAGTTTCTGTGAGTTGGATTTAGATTCTCTGGGTTGAATTTAGAATGGATGGATTATACATGTTCTCCAAGTTATTCTGTTGGGAAGCTGGGGTCGACAACCGCTAGCCTAGAATGTGTGACCTTAAAAGGTCAAGATCATTGCATGAGGGAGGGGCCAAAATGGTGGAAGAGTCATCTTCATGGCTGTTAAAATCACCCAAAATTATGCTTTAGATAAAGCGACTGTAAGCTGGGAGGTCTGTAAATGACTACCAAAGAATGTAGAAATTGGGTGATACCATCCAATGGCATGAAACTCAAAGCAAAGGTGTTTAGAGAGAATGGTCTGGAATGGACCATGCTGAGCAAGGAGGACACCTGCCCAACCCCCAGGCCCAGTGATATGTTGGATTTGGGAAATCAAACATCCACCGCGCCTGCAGTCCTGACCTGAGCCTGTCATGGCGATGGTGGCCTCAGAGCAGAGGGCTCTGGCCTGGCTGGCAGTCCTGGGCTGCAGGGAACTTGCCAGAAGCTTAAAAAGTCCTGGGCTCCCCTCTGCATCCCCCCAGCCACTTTCTAGCTGGAGGACCCCTTGTTTCTTTAAACAAAGGCATGCAAGCAAACCCAATGTGGAAAACAGATAAAAGCAAAGCTTCTATGATTGAAATGGCAGATGGGATAGGGAGAGAGAGGGGTCTCCACAGCATGACTAGGGCCATGCAGGGGGCCTCGAGGCTCGGGTTGGACCCGCTGCTCCATCACTGGCCAGAGATACCTGAGGAAAATGTGGAGTTACATATCAAAAAGTAAATATCATATACCCAATGATCATGTAAGTCTCTTTAAATGTTTTGTTGACCAAGCAGATTGAACTCTTTCTTCCAATGTATTAAACTCTTCGTATTCACAAGTGGTTTGTAATATCCCTGAGATCTCTTTATGTCATTTATGATTAGGATAATGTCACTGTCGTTAAGCTGATATTATTTACATAGAAGAAACCATGGTTTCGAACAGCGATGACTTAAGTCAGTTTCTCCAGAAAAGCAAACCATGAGCCAACGGTATGAATGCCAATAATTTTTTTAAGAAAGTGCTTCTAAGGAGAATCCTGTAAAGTAGGCAGAGAGCAAGCAGAAGAAAAAAGGAGCAGCCAAGAACAAGTTGAGTATCCCTTATATATTTGGGGCCAGAAGTGTTTCGGATTGCAGATGTTGGAAGATTTGCATGTAACAGAACGAGATGTCTGGGAGTTGGGACCCAAAGTTTAAACACAGGATTCATTTATGTTTCATATGTATCTTTTACACATAGCCTGAAGGTGATTTTATACAATATTTTTACTTTTATTTATTTATTTTTAGGAAAGGGTCTCATTCTATCACCCAGGCTGGACTGCAGTGGCATGATCATAGCTCACTATAACCTCTGACTCCTGGGCTCAAATGATCTTACCAAGTAGCTGAGACTATGCCTGGCTAAGTTTTTTCTAATTTTTTTTTGTTTTTTTGGGTAGAGACGGGGTCTCGCTATGTTGCCCTGGCTGGTCTTGAACTCCTAGCGTCGAGCAATCTTCCCACCTTGGCCTCCCGAAGTGCCCAAAATCACAAGCATGAGCCACCATGCCTGGCCTTATACAATATTTTAAATAACTTTTTGCATGAAACAGAGTTTGTGCCCATTGAACCATCAGAAAGCAAAGGTATCACCATCTCAGCCACCCATGTGCACAGTCTGTGGATTTTTGTCATCACTGTCACTCCCTTGGGGACGCTGGATAAACTGTGTGTGACTGCGTTTTGACTGCTCCCGGCCACACAAAGTCAGGTGTGGAATTTTTCACTTGTGGCGTCATGCCAGTGCTTTAAAAGTTTTGTATTTTGGAGCATTTTGGATCTTCATATTAGGGATGTCCCACCTGTAATGGTGGAAATTCAGGTGAAGTCTCAAGGGATAGAGCTTCAGCCTGATCCCCACAGGGGACTTCTAAAGGGTTACAACCTAGATTCTGACCCAGGGCTGCTGAAAGCATATTTCCAGAGCTAACAGGGAAATGTTGATCTCACAGATACTTCCAGACAAAGAGAATCCATGAGTACAAGAGCTTTGTCCTTCAGAGAAGAGGATCAATGTGGCTTCTTGAAAGAAAAGCACACTGAGCACACAAAAATGCAGATGGGATCCAAAACCAACTTAGAAGAGCTCAACAGTGACTTCTATTAGTAGAAAACCTTTTCTAGAATGGCATTGGTTACCTAGGTAAAGATTAGTTTCAAAACCCATTAATGTCAACTTTCAATTATTGTGAAGATTTCTGATAGCATAAATTTTACTACTTCCCCCCCATGTATTTCCAGCAATATAATATTACCACACATAGGGCCAAATTTCTAGAAATCCAGGTCAAGTGAGTATGAGTTTGTATATCAGATACCTCCAGCCATGACCCTGGCTCATTGCGGTCTGTGTTTGAAAACAACATGCATATTTTAAAAGCCCACTGTTTTAGATGGATTCCATTTTATTTCTCGCTACCCTGAGTACAAATGTCAAGAATGTTTAGCTATTTTGAAATTTGCATCATTATAAACAGTGGCCTTGCTCTGCAATCTCATCTGTTCCTGCATTTCAGGATTGTTGTCGATTTTTGTTTTTCTCTTTAAACGTTTGCCCCTCTTCCAAGGATTAGAAGAACATTATTTGAGAGTCCCCGTGTTAAATGTAATTTAGAGTTGTGCAATGTCCAGCCCACTGACAGATTTAGAGATTAATTTTTAGACCTCTGGTGGTGTCGGAGAAGTTCCTTAAGGTTTTGGAAATGGCAACAATATTGACTCCCCACTACTAAAGGTTACTTGTATCCACATTCACCCTAATGCAAAAGGAAAGTTTAAGTGTGGCAAATATCAGTGTTGTTTTGCTTTATGAAAAAACCTGTACATAGGGAAAAAAAAAAAAAAAGTAACTGCCAGAATAAGAAATACCTTATCTTCCAGAAGGACAGACTATATGGGTATATTTTCCTTTTTTTATTCAGGAAGTAGAACATCACTGTTGCTATACTGCTGTTATTTGCATAGAAATAAATTCAATAGTTTTCAACAATCATGGCCTTAGGTCATGTGTCTTCAAAAGCAAACCCCGAGCCAAAGATTTGAGTGCTGGAGAAATATAAATGGAGACATTTGATTATGACTTATAAACTATTCAGATTGTATTAAGGGTGGGCAGAAAAACTTTTTTTACCCCCCAAATATTTTGGCTCAGCTGCATCTCCAAATATGTGTTTTGCTACATTTTCAAGTTGGTACATTTGGGGGGGATATTTAATCCATATGTTTCAGCCAGGCTACACGTAAATCATCCAGATGTTATTTTGTTCCAGCTACATTGATGTCTAAAATGCTTTTTCAAATAGTCTTTATAGTCTTTCCTGCGAAGCAGCAGGTGAGTTGCCAAGAGTAAACAAATCAAATCGCGAAAGGTTCGAGTTCCATTTGAAATGCTTTATCCTATTATTTTTGATTGGGTTCTGAACTTGGCAGTGCTCATTCTGGGTTCCTGCCTGCAGGGCAAAGTGAAAACAATGTGAGCTCTGTATTTCCCAGTTGGTTCATTGACATTTGAGAATAATGTAGTACAGACAGAATCAGCACGTTTGGCAGGTGAGTGATACTTAACATGACCTCAAAAAGTTAATTCCCCGCTAGGAACTTGCAGAAGTTCACAGCATGAAACCACATTGTATATATTACACAGCACAGGTTAAGACTGACAGCCATCCAGGGGTTCGTACTGGGGATTGATTCATTTTTCTTGTGCATCTGTCTTTAGGTGGAATGGCTGAAAAACGAAGACATCATCGATCCCGTGGAAGATCGGAATTTTTATATTACTATTGATCACAACCTCATCATAAAGCAGGCCCGCCTCTCAGACACCGCAAATTACACCTGTGTCGCCAAGAACATTGTCGCCAAGAGGAAGAGCACAACGGCCACTGTCATAGTCTACGGTGAGTGGGGTTTCAGGGTGTCAGTCTAGTTCACGCCTAACTACAGTTTCTCACTGGCGTTGGTATTTTAATTCCAAAATAGCAAGCTCAGGACCCATTTGTGATCTACATTGCCTCTCACGGGGACAGTCAGGTTTTGCTGCTGTTAAAAAAAGACAATAACTATTTGTTAAGGTATCTGAGTTATGTCTCCATTTATTTATTTTAGATACATTTTGCTTCTCTGATACTTATAAGAAAAGACTAGGTTTGGACGTTCCTCGGCCTTTATTAGTCAACTTCTGGGAAAGTGAAGGAGCCTATTTGAGCGCCTGCTGTTTCCCAATGTTATAGCAAATAGGACGAGAAAAACAAACCAAAAGCCACACGAGAGTACTGCAAAACAGGCTTTTATTATGCCAGCGGGCTCAGAGGGGTCTCGCCTCCAAATTCTGAGCAAATGGGGTCAAAAATATGCTGGTTTTTATATGCTTGTAAAAGGGAAAGCTGGTGGTTACAGAAGCAGATGGGTATGAAGCTTGCATAAGATTGCGGTTAAATGAAAAAGTTGCTTAACCATGCTAGCTTGCAGTTGTGCTGTTATTAGGTGGGAAAATTGTCCCTTACACCAAATCCAAGACCTGCACCACCAAGATCTAGCTTGAGTTCTGGAGGTGCAAATGCATAAAGCACCCACTGCTACTTCTGTGGACAAGGCTCGGTCCGATGATTGCAGGCTCTCAGGATGGCAGGAGCTGATCTGAGGAATTCTAACTTCCTAGAGCTTGTTCCATTCATTGCATCAGAGCCACGCAGAGTGAAGATAAGGGTTGCCATATCTTAGCCAGGTGGCCCTAATCCTAGCAATATGGCGTCGTCCCACAAAATGCCTCCTCAGGAAACTTCTCCCCATTCCCTGTCATTTCGAATCCACCTCATCTCGAAGCCTGTCATTTTCTGGAAGTACCAATTTCATACCCCATTTTGATGGAGCATAGATGCTTTTATCTCTCTGGGAAATTTAGCACTCAGTTGTTTTCTAGCGATTGCACGAGCAATTTTATCTCCCCCAGCTCAGCTCCTTTGTAGACTGAAAGTCTGGTCTATATATATTTTCATGTTGTTAGCTATATAATAGGTCCTCATGTTATTGATGACTCATTGGCTCAGAGGAAACCAAACAACCCTGGGAAGTATTTTGAGGTTATGCTACTTCCAGAATGATATGCCCATGTCTATCATGTCTTAGGACGTAACTAAGCTTTTCATCACTGTTTTAGTGATGATACACGATATCCCCGGAGCCATGGTGGCTGATTGTGAAGGAGGGACAGTCACTGCCAAGCATGTGATTCATCATATAGTCACGCATCCCTTAATGATAGGGGTACATTCTGAGAAGTGTGTCATTAGGTAGTGTCATCATTGTGAAAATAGCATAGAGTGTACTCATATGAACCCAAATGGTCCAGCCTTCTACTCACTTATGCTAGCCCATTGTGGTCTAGCCCATTGTCCCTAGGTTAGAAACCTGCACAGCATGTTGCTGTACTCAATACTGCAGGCAATCGTAACGCAATAGTTTTCGTGTAACTAAGCATATGTAAACATAGAAAAAGGTACTATAAGAATAGGCGTAAAAGATATAAAAATCATACACCCATATAGGGCAGTGATCATGAGTGGAGCTTGTGAGACTGGAAGTTACTCTAGCTGAGTCTTTGAGTGGTGAGTGAGTGTGAAGGCCAAGGACATTACTGTATAGCACTGTAGACTTCATAAACTCTACACTTAGGCCACCCTAAATTTATTTTTTAAGAAAAGTAATTGCGATGCAATGTTACAATGGCTATGATGTCACTAGGTGATAGGACTTGTTCAGCTCCATTATAATACTACGTGACCACCATCACATATGTGGTCTGCCTGTGACTGTACTTACTGCAGATAGTATTGGAAGAGTTAAGAATATGGCGCCCCAAAATATGCCACTCTGGCAGCCATATTGACTATTTTTTTTAGAGTTAAAAGTACTTGAAAAACAGCAGGTAACAAGATCACTGTGACATTCCTTCTGTAAAAAGCAGGAGAAGGAATTCCTAAGCAAAAGATGTCCTCCCTATTCTAGAAAGAAAGTAACATTCTTAGCATCAAGGATAGGAACTTTAGATTTAGGGGAAGTTGAGACCAAGAGAATTCTCTCTCTTTTTCTTTGGAGACAAGAGTCTGTCTCTGTTGCCTAGGCTAGAGTGCAGTGGTGTCATTCCAGCTCACTGCAACCTCCAACTCCTGGGCTCAAGTGATCCTCCTGCCTCAGCCTCCCAAGTAGCAGGGACTACGGCTGTCCACCAGCATGGTCAGCTAATTTTCTATTTCTGGTAGAGACAGGGGTCTCTTGCTTAGGCTGATCTCGAACTCCTGAGCTCAAGCGATCCTCCCTCCTTGGCCTCCCAGAGTGCTAGGATTATAGACCTGACCCACTGCGCCAAGCGAAACAAGGGAATTCTTTACAGATCTTATTAAAATAACTCACAATCTTCTCTTAGCCTTTTTCACAATTAACTACCCTTTGTCCAATTCAATATATGGGTGTTCAACTCTAACTTCATCTTTGGGACTTCATTTACTTATGAAATCTTCTATGCCATATACTTCTCGTATTAAATAATTTTGTATGCTTTTCTCCTTTTGATATGTCTTATGGCAATTTATTCTCAGGCCCATTTGAAAAAATCCTAAGAAGGGAGAGGTAAAGTTTTACCTCCCTTATAATACCATTCAGATGGATGTGTGCTTATGGGAATAGAAAAACCACTACAATATTCCAAAGGATGAATGTAGTGATGCTTTAAAACTGTCGTTTTAATTACAGGACAGATGCATACAATTTTTTTTAATCCTCTAATTACTCTGAAGTTTAATTTCCCAGTCCAGATAATGGCTATGTTGAATCGTAAGCAATTGCCTTTCTTAAGTCACAATAAAATGTTTCCTACTTTTTATCTTTTTTGAAATGGCCTGAAATGGATTAACAGCATTTGAAATGCAGTGAAGAAATGGGGCGCAATCACAGCATGTACCAGTCATAAATAACTAATGAAGGCAGAGTATATATAGATGTATTATATGGATGTTTAATACACATGCCAATCCCTTCCTTTCTATCATATAGTATTGGATATCTTTCAATATTCATAAATGCAAGCAGTACATTTTCTTTAGGAAAGATCAAACACAAATAAGTATTTACAGTAATGAAAACAGCATTGGACTAAGGGTGAGGAATCTTGGGTTCTAGGACTAGTTCTGCCACTAACCGATCTCAGATGATCTTTTAAACAGGATTCTCTGGGTCCTTGTCTCTTTCTCTATAAAATGAAGGGGGAATAAGCATAGGATCTCCAAAGACCTTCCTGGAAGACCTCTGGAAGTTCCTGATTACTCATTTGTCATTAAAATGCTAGAAGGGAAGTACATATATCCTAAACCCCAAATACCAGCTTACCAGTGTACTAGTAAGCAGTTTATACTGACATTTCCATGACATGTGGAGTTTTGTAAAGTTGAGCAGGTTAAGTTGCTTTTTGGAACACTAACTGAAACCCTACCAATCAACCATCTGCTTGTCCTTCACACATAACCTCACAAAAAAAGTTGTCCAGGGTTCATGGATTGGGCTCACGAGGAGTCCACAGAAAATATAGATTTAACCAGTATTTCACATTTACAGTCTGTCCTATATATTTTTGTTAATGTCATTTTTAGATTGCAATTATAATATATCCATTAGAGAATTTGGAAGAGACAGAAAAGGTCCAAGAAGAAAATAGCTATAATCCTGTCATCCAGAGATATCATTTTAAAAAATTGATATGTGCACTACTATTGTTTTCTAGGTATTGATAGGATTTAAAAATAAAGGATATACATAATTATTATTATATAATGCATATGTATTTATAAATTTAAAATAATATATACATATGCATTACTATATTATACATAGTGTATACATATATACATTACTCTGAATTAAAACATAACATTGAAATATTCATGTGTTAGTAGCCTTCTACAGCATAATTTTTAGTGGCTGTATAGGAGTCAGTCATATGAATGTATTCGATTTACTTTGCCATTTTCTTGTTTTGAACATTGCAGTTGTTTCTAATTATTAATCTTTATGGAAAACAAAACTCTGCTGTGAAACATACCTTTTCTGTGTCTGTAAATTTAACATATTCATGATTATTCCCTGTTGGATAGGTTTCTAGAAAACAAGATGTTGAGCAAATGATGTGCACATACAGTATCTGTGTTAGTTGAATGGCTAACACCCTTCTTTAGTATCAAGAACAGATGCATATATTGGTTGTTTCATGTTTGAACTACTAACAAGTAATTTTTGTTAGAAATTTCTTAATTGTAATAATTGCGTTGACTCACATTATCGGAATGCTAAAAAAAAAAAAAATCTGTATTTTCTAGAGCGTGCTCTCCAGAAGTGAATAGTTTACACGGTGTTGGAGAGAAGGTTTTGCAATCACACATACACTGACAGCTTCACCAAACATCATAAATTAGTCTTTATACACAAAATAGGGGCCCATTTCAGTTATATCAACTGAGTGCCAATTCAATCGAATAGCTCATTTGTTTGTAACATAACTCCAATATTATAAGATTTTATTTTTTAACCAGGTTCAGTGGTTTTAATAACCCTTAAAAGGCTGTAGAGTTTACATATGCCAAAGAAAAATAATCAATCATCTGTTTTTGAAAAAGGCTAAATGATTGAGTCCCCATGCTGGGGCTCCACTCGCAGCCTTGGCATAAGGATGTAAACATTTATTATTTGAGATAAGCTGTCAAAAGTAATTTGGGGTGCTTGACTAGGGAAGGGGATGTATTTTTCTTAAAAGAACACTGGCCAAGGAAAAGAGAACACAGTCCTATTTGGTCTTCTGAGTAGGTGAGTAAATCTTGGTAAATAGCTTTTCCTCTGTGTTTAGATCGTTCAGCTATATGATAAAACTTTGGAGGAAATAAATGACGTCTAGGGTCTCTTCTAGCTTTGGAAGTTTAGATTTGTTTAATGGTCACTTGGGAGATGACTGTTTGTTTATGAGTGGCATGTGGTGTGTGTGTCTCTGTGTGCACATACACACGTGTGTAATCCGCTTTGTTATTGTTTCCTTTCAGTCAATGGCGGCTGGTCCACGTGGACGGAGTGGTCTGTGTGCAACAGCCGTTGTGGACGGGGGTTCCAGAAACGTACAAGGACCTGCACCAACCCAGCCCCCCTCAATGGCGGTGCCTTCTGCGAAGGGCAGAGTGTGCAGAAAATAGCCTGTACTACCTTGTGCCCAGGTAAATAAACCAATCCTCTCAATCCAGATGTCTCTTACCATTCTAGAAATACGTCTTAGAGGATAGATACACAGGCCTTACTCTTGATTTGAATGTGTGATCAACATTACTCAAATCTATCCTCCATTCAGTGTTTAGATTACTGGGAAATCAAGTATTTTCCTCCATAAGAATACTTAATTCTGTTGCCTAAACATGCAAAATACTAATATGAGGTTGGTGCAAAAGTAACTACGGTGTTGGACCATGAATTTTAAATCATTGTAACTAGGCTCGAACACATCTTTAGTAATCAAAATAGGAACCATTATAATCAACCCATTTTTTACCAATGAGAAATAAGTTAGTCTATGCCTGTAGCATAAAAATCCGTCCTTCAGGATTCAATGAACTCTTGGAAAGCATTTTCTGCATCCTATTGGTTGTGGAAGCGTTTTCTCTGCACACAGTTGTCAAGGTGCTTGAAGAAGTGGTAGTCGGTTGGCTAGAGGTCAGGTAAATATGGTAGATGAGGCCAAACTTCATAGCCTAATTCGTTGAGCTTTGAAGTTCGGTCTTGCAACATGCAGTCAGGCTTTGCCATGGAGAATAATTGGGCCCTTTCTGTTGACCGATGCCAGCTGCAGGCGTTGCAATTTTCAGTGCATCTCGTCAATTTGCTCAGCATAATGGTTCTCAGATGAAATTGTTTCCTGGGATTCAGAAAGCTGTAGTGGATCGGACTAGCCACAGACCATCCAACAGTGACCATGACCTTTTTCTGATACAAATTTGGCTTTGGGAAGAGCTCCTTCTTGATCCAACCACTGAACTGGTTGTCGCAGGTTGTGGTATAAAATCCACTTTGGGTCGCATGTCACAATCCAATTGAGAAATGGTTGGTTGTTGTTGCGTACAACAAGAGAAGATGACACTTCAAGACTGTGATTTTTTTTTGTATTTTGATCAGCTCATGAGGCGCCCACTTATTGAGCTTTTTCACCTTTCCAATTTGCTTCAAACGCTGCCCAACTGTAGAATGGTTGATGTTGAGTTCTTCTGCAACTTCTCGTGTAGTTGTTAGAGGATCAACTTCAGTGATTGCTCTCAATTGGTCATTGTCAACTTCCGATGGCCAGCCACTACGCTCCTCATCTCAAAGCCCTCATCTCTTTTGCAAAACTTCTTGAACCACCACTGCACTATACGTTTGTTAGAAATTCCTGGGTCAAACATGTTGTTGATGTTGTGAGTTGTCTGTCTGCTTTATCACTTGTTTTGAACTCGAATAAGAAAATCTGTCGAATTTGTTTTTTGTCTAACATCGTTTCCATAGTCTAACATACATATCAAATAAGCGAGAAAATGTGCGTTAAAATGATGTATGACATAACCACATTCACTTAAGAATGGATTCCAATATCAAATGGCAAATTTCAACAAAGCTAAAACCCCCATTACTTTTGCACCAACCTAATAGTTTAAAACAGGATATTAAACACTCATGAACTCAATTCTTCTGTATTATACAACAAAACTTCTGGAGCCAAGCTTGCAGGTTCTATAATTCAAGGGATTTGAACAGCATGGAAAGCCACACATTTTAGGAATAACAATGTTTGATCTTCAGAAAACCGTGAAAATTAAATTGGAATTGAAATTTGGAAAATGTTTGAGACTGAAATATTTGATATTTGGTGTCATTTTCTGGGCAAGGGCAAATAAAACATTTGGAATGAATGAAAAGGAAGGCAAAGCTTTGTTTGTCACACATAGGATAATGGGTTTTGAAAATACAATGCAGTTAGCTCCTTATTATCTATGCTGGTCGTCTGTTTTGTGAGTTATTTTACAGTGGTACCTATGGCAAGATTGCTTATCTCTGCCTCTTAGCATCTTTCTCTTCTATCTTGTATCACCATAGCTCTTATCCCTACGAAAATTGAAGATATTCTTTGCCAAAACCAAAACTATTAAAATGCCTAGTTATATGATATATTCCAAAGTTAAGCTAAATTATTTTGAGATAATCCACAAATTTAGTGGACTCATTGGGGTAGCTATTGTGCTATTCATTCCAGTATTTAGAGACACAGCCTGTTTACTTCTCTTTATTTTGCCTAATTCTGTTGTGTTTATTCTTTAATAGACCCTTTCTCAGAGATGGGCTAGACAAATAAACTGGAGATAAAAAAAAAAATAATCTACATTTTACATTCCCAAGTCTTGATTTCCAAGTATCAAAACAATCTTCCACACCGAGCACTTTGAGAGCTTTTATTTATGGAATAAATTTTGACACTTAGCTAGGCTTAGAATATCAGGTTTTATTTTGTACTCTCCTATATTTTACCTAGGCGCTGATTCTCACAATTTGAGTTTGAGTCGATGAGTTTGAGTTTAAATAGAAGTGTGTGTGTGTGTGTATTTCAGTACACTAGGATAATCTAAGTCAAAGCAAGTGTCTTTGCTACGAGTGGTTGTCTGTATAGCCAACTCTGTGTGATTGAAATATTGATGTTTTCATCATTTTATCATGCGGGCATGTTTATACCTATATGCAGATGATATATAAATATTTACACAATAATTTAAATATGAAATCCTATAGATTTCCCAAACTATGTAGACTATTAAAATTGATATTATTTCTATCAATATGTAGATATAAAAGGTTAAGATGGTCAATAAATGGTATTTGGCATTGTTTTCCATTGAATCCTAGATAGTCATAATTATGTGTATATTTCAGGGAAAATTAAACATTTTTAAACTCTTATTTCAACATTTTTATCCTATTTTTGTGAGAAACTTAAAAGGATACATTTTAAAGTATGACTGAAATTTACTATATATATTTTTCAAACTGTGATTTAAGTTGTGTATTTTAAAATAGAGGTATCTGAGCTCATTATCATTGAAATGACCAACAAGCTAGCCACCAAATTTAGGAAGCAAACAAGTCACTTCTAAATGACTGAATCACAAAAAAAATTAGGGACTTACCTAAATATCATTATTATTATTTTTATTTTTTTTTTTTTTTTTTGAGACAGAGTCTCACATTGTTGCCCAGGCTAGAGTGAGTGCCATGGCGTCAGCCTCGCTCACAGCAACCTCAAACTCCTGGGCTCGAGTGATCCTTCTGCCTCAGCCTCCCTAGTAGCTGGGACTACAGGGCATGCGCCACCATGCCCGGCTAATTTTTTATATACATATCAGTTGGCCAATTAATTTCTTTCTATTTATAGTAGAGACGGGGTCTCGCTCTTGCTCAGGCTGGTTTTGAACTCCTGACCTTGAGCAATCCGCCCGCCTCAGCCTCCCAGAGAGCTAGGATTACAGGCGTGAGCCACCGCGCCCGGCTAAATATTATTTTTAAAATAAAAAAATAGAAATGGATACATTATCAAACAATGAAATCATCAAACAATAAATGAAAAATAATATAGTCTTTTGAAGACAGCATTGCAAAAGGAAGGTTTCAGCAGAATCAAGGAGTCTGGATGACAACAGCAGTCCCCAACCTTTTTAGTACCAGGGACTAGTTTATGGAAGACAATTTTTCCATGGACTGGGGGAGCGGGAGGGGGATGGGAATGGCAAGCCATGGGAAGCAGCTGTAAATACAGATGAAGGTTCACTTGCTGGCCCACCAGTCACCTCCTCCTGCTCAGTCCAGTTCCTAACAGGCCACAGGCCAGTACTAGTTTGTAGCCTGGGAGTTAGGAACCCACAGGTGTGTAAGATATGACAATAGAGAGATTGGATGGATGGATGGATGGATGGATGGATGGATGGATGGATGGATGGATGGATGGATGGATGGATGTCTTTCCTACTGTACCCACCTCTTCCCCCAACTCCCACACAAGTTTATTTTTACTTTCTACATGACACTATGAATTCAGGAAGCTTCAATCCAAAGAGAGCTCCCCTAATTTTCAGTGCAAAATGCAAAAGCTTCCCCGTGAATAGAAAAACAGGGCATTAGCATGACCTACTTTTATGTAGCTCTTGGTGATGACTTTGGTTTCTGTGTAGCCCCATTAAGCTTCCTTTGGCTTGGTCAGTGAGAATACAGTCATACACCTGTCAGAAAAATCCACAGAACCCAAATGATTCAGAGCACGTGCCCCTGCGCAGCAGTTAAATGAATGCATGCTCCTTGGTGGGGCATTTTCTTCCATTTTTTGCGTTGTTTTGGTATACTTGAGTTCTGCGCCTTTCACCCCTCAAGCAGCTGCTTCCCCTTTTGACCTGTTGCTGCACTTTTTCATGGCAGTGGATGGCAGGTGGACGTCGTGGAGCAAGTGGTCTACTTGTGGGACAGAGTGCACCCACTGGCGCAGGAGAGAGTGCACAGCTCCAGCCCCCAAGAACGGAGGCAAGGACTGCGATGGCCTCGTCTTGCAATCCAAGAACTGCACGGATGGGCTTTGCATGCAAAGTAAGTCAGTTTGAGCGAACTGCAGACACAGATGGGACCTGAGGTTGAACCATTTGAATTTCTTTAAAGAAAATGTTAGCAATGAAGAAATCTTTGAATGAAAAAATGCAATAGTATAGAAATATCCTAACTCTCTCTCTCTCTCAAAAATGAGAAAAGCTAATCTTCCAGGAACCAGAATGAAAATAACTGTGTTCAGTTAACAAATGACACACAATATTGCTTTCCCATGAGCAAGGGGGTGATTTGGTGATTTCCGTGGAGGGGCTGACAATCTTTCCAGAGCAGGGAATCATTACTCAGTTTTATCAGAGTGGACAAAAGGGAATCTTCAACTTCTTAAAGAGTCACAACATGACTTGCAAAAAATGAGCTATTTATTCCTAATTCATGACTGGTACCAAACCAATGTCCATAGAATGTGAAATGTATATAAAGGTCGTAAACATTTCTACAGACAGATACATCAATTTGCAAGAAATGTTTAGTAAGAACATCTTTATAACCCTTGAAAATTCTGCATTAGAAATTATAATGTAGGTGTGATTTAGTTTATTTAAAGGAAATAATGTTAATAAAACATAAACTTTTAAAACAAGTGCAGGAGATTGCTATTTTAATCCTCAATCCAGTTGAATTTTTTCCTTATGGTTGGATATTTGCCAAAAATGATGGGCTAAAGTACATGTGTAATAGGGACTAGGGGCAAGGAATAAGGCTGCAAGATAGTTTTTAAAGAATTTATTTATTTATATTTGTTTATGTCTTATCAAGTCTCGTTAGACTGAAATATTTTGGTGTTTGGGTTAAAACCATTCATTTAAAAAGCTGTTTCTTTCTGTAGCTCTGATTTGCTATAGCAATGATCCCTACTGATAAACTCTTTCATCTACCTTCCTGTATCTACTCTAGCCCAATAGAGAATTGTAGGCTATACTACTATTGATTCCCTCAGTGATAAAAACCACAGAGATATTCCGCATTGTATAATTATATTTTAGAGTGAAAACTATAGTTTCTGTTACCAATAAGATTGGTTTTTTTCTGGCATAGCATTAATATTACTGCCAAAGTAATACATTGTACTGTCTGGTCCAGAAATGGCAGTATGTATATATATATATATATATATATATATATATATATATATATATATATATATATATTTGTTTGTTTATTTATTTATTTATATACTAGATTAGATTATTACATTACTGCAACTATTCCCATGGACTTTAGTTTTTAGTCCAGTTGTTAAGTTTGGAGTTTCACATGGTCATAGGTAACAGCTCAAATCTGAATTCAGAATTACTCCTTGCTGAAGAAGGTTTTATGCCACAGTAGACAAATTAAAAATTGCAATTTACAAACAAGAACTGTCTGGAATTATGTATGCCTCAGTGAACTTCCTGACTTTGGGAAATGAAAATGTTCTGCATTCCGCAAATGTAGCACTTTCTCCTCATTAAAAAATTTGCATGTCGCACGGCCCTTCCATTAATTCTCAAGGAAGTAGCAGAACTCTCCAAGTGTAAATTGGGGTGTGGACACACTGTATACTATGGCTCAGGAATCCCAGGTGCATTGAATGTCGGGAAGTAATCTACCTTACAATGAGTCATTCCTGGACTTTAGAATGATGTGTTTATAACTCGTGTGGTAGGTATGTGAAAAGGTGCTAGTCACTTCCCACTGAAATCCTTATCAACACAGCAGTTTGATAGGATAGCGTAATTGTGAGTGTTAGACAGTGGATGCTTTTATCTTTTAGTCTGGAAGAAGTTGATGTCATAGCTCTGTTTCTATAGCTCTTGATACGTTCAGTGTTCCAGCTGGCAAATGAATATTCTAGACTTGGACTGCCTGCCCAACACAGAGCTCCATTGTCTCTAATATAATAAGTGTGGTTTGCTTTTGCTTTTTTTCTTTCTTCTAAAACATTTTCCTCCTTTTAAAGCAGGGATGTACTCATAGTTAGAAACTTTTAGCCCACCGAAACCTCATGAACAGCTATGGAGCCCCAAAAGGATTAGTGTGAGAAGACCAATTTAAGGTCCTCAGCTTCTTAGATGGAAAGAAAAACGAGGGGATCAAAAAAGGTGCCACTCTTAGGCCAGGCGTGGTGACACACGCCTATAATCCTAGCACTCTGGGAAGCCGAGGTGGGGGGATGGCTCAAGGTCAGGAGTTCGAAACCAGCCTGAGCAAGAGCGAGACCCCGTCTCTACTATAAATAGAAAGGAATTAATTGGCCAACTAAAAATATATAGAAAAAAAAATTAGCCGGGCATGGTGGTGCATGCCTGTAGTCCCAGCTACTCAGGAGGCTGAGACAGGAGGATTGCTTGAGCCCAGAAGTTTGAGGTTGCTGTGAGCTAGGCTGATGCCACGGTACTCACTCTAGCCTGGGCAACAGAGTGAGACTCTGTCTCAAAAAAACAAACCAAAAAAATGGGGTGCCACCATACAGCAGCCACAGCAAAGCAGGGACTCCTTTGAGGTCACTCGGGTGCAAGTCCAGGGTTATAAGCTAAATTTTTCTTTTTATCTAACAATCCAGCAGACAGGGTGATATTTTCTAGAAATCCAGCTACCTTACATCAGGATTCTTCATCATTTTATTTCTTCTGTCAGATGTCTTTACTATCATAGAAGGATTCTAATATCATTCCCTTTGGATTTAATAATTTATTATTCTTTTCTAAGGAGCATTGTTAGGAATGGAGTCTACTACATAAAAACACTTGGGCAGCTGATCTGTGCGTTTGATTTTACTGAACTGTTAGTTAAATTTCAGACATTTATGCTTCACCTGCTGTGAGTCATGAGATAAGACTCTTACATCCTGGGATGTTAATTATCCACTATCCCTTTTCATAAAGGTGTGGCTGGTTGCTGTTAGGAACAGGATTATGGCCCAGCTTCATGGCATGCCACTGTCCTTTGTAGGCAGGGCCAGTAAATGACCATGGCGATTTAGGTAACCGACACCAGTGATAAGCAAATGTTATTTTCAATTGTTGTTGTCATGTCCTAGAATTTATGGATTCATTTATTTGGAGTTCCGTAAGCCTCATCAATAAATTAACCCTCAGAAGAGTGGTAAATTAAAATAAATGACCCAGGGTGTCTTTGACAGGCCTGACCTTTGACATCATTAGTGCAGCCCCGATAGGTTTGCTAAGATAAGAACCGACCTAACAGGAAAAAAGAAAATCTGGACATGTTTATTTGGAATGGCCCTTGAGGTTTTAATAAGAATGTTTGCATCAGAAGAAATGTAATTGGGGTGAGAAAAATGTCATGTTTTGGCTCAGCGTAAAATCACTGGCAAAAAGGAAGCCCCCCTCCCCCCCACCAGCCAGGTCAAGGAGAAGGAAAGATCCTTCTAGAACATAGATTCTCCTAATGATAGGATCATAAATTGAAGAAAGATCTTATGAAGTAGTCTGATGTAGGTAAAGCAAATTAATATGATTAAAAATAACCAGAAACTTTGTGATTCAAAAAATATGTACTTTTATAGAATACACTTAATGCCTTTATAAATAGCAATTGACTTATGTCATAATAAGTTGTATCATACTAACCCATGTATAAGATATGCATCAGTCCTCTATTATACTTAATCCTCAGAGTATCATAAAATCTATTTTACATGTATTAAGGCCATAGAAAGCAGCTCCATATTGAAATATAACGAGTAAACCTTGAAGACAAGCAGGTACACCTTCTAAAACTCCACTCATTTCCCTTTTGGCCAGGGATTTGATGGCCAATGTGTTATTAAAGACAGAGAGTTTTAATTCCCAGACATCTACATAGAGACTTTTCCTTTTGGGTGTTCCTTAATTCTGGATCAGTGGTTTTCCAACTTTGGAGGGCATAAAAATTACCATATGGTGTGTATTATAATTTAGAGGACTTTCCAATTTAACTTTATTTAACGTCCACCTAATGCACTGATGTTAGGCTCGGGCGTAAGTGGCTTCTGACTCCAGTCTGCTATGTTGGACACAGTAGACATAGCCAAACTACAACAAAACTGAATTGAGTTCAATTCGATGAACACCCAGAAGGTAGAAAAAAATAACCTTAACAAACAGAGCTTTTCATAATCCCTTATATAATAGTTCTCTTTTGCAGAAGAAGAAACTGAGGCATAGAATTAAAATAGCCCACCAAACACTCACAAACATATGAAATCAAATCTGTCTCATTTGTAAGCCTGTTTCCATGAAGGCTGTCAGATGCTAGAAGCAAGTGGTTGTCAGGTTTTATTGTTTTAAAATGGGATTTTCTTCTGATGTATTAGAGTCTCTCCAATTATTTACATTTATTTATTTTTTTCCTGATGTTATTTTTTGAGGGAAACCGATGTTTCTCCGATGTTTCTCCTTTAAAAATGTACTTATTGTAGTATTTCATGCCAAATGCAATGTGATTATCATGCATTAAGAACTACAGAATTTGAGCAGGGCTCTTCAGTTACATTAGAGTGGAAATACCAAGGCGCTTGGTGTGTCTCTTCACTTACTCTACACTGGAAACAAAAGACACTTAGGAATTTGGTTCATTAAGAGAGAAAAACCTCTCTAGGTTATTTTAGCTTTATAATAATTTCATGAATATTAATGGTAAAGTTACAAATGGAGAGGTATTTTACAGTCTGAATCAGTAGTGTTACCTCCTTCAATCACTGAATTACAAATTAAGCCAGGAACCTATCAAGCCCTTTCTATTATTTCCTTGTCTCTCTTCATTTAAATCTACTAATCATTGCTCACACAGTACTTACATGGAGCCTGGGGCCATAGCCCCTGGGCTGGGATCTAACCCTAGCTGCGCTGTTTCACCAATTTTGTCTTGTTAGACAAGTCCCTTCAACACTGTGTGCTCAAAGGGGTTAAAATAGGAAGTTCCAATCAGTGATCTTTTCTTAACTCCAACATCCTGAGGGTCTGCACATTAATGAGAGCATTGCCTCGGTTTTGAGAAAT